AGATGGCAAGCAATCTGATATATGTTATACATGTGCAATCATGTAAACATATTTCCACATTAGTCATGATGTAAGAGAAGAAGTAGAACAAAAGGGAGAAGCCATCAAAAACAAAAGTTCAGACTCCATAGGTTTTTTTTCTGGCTGTGGACAGCATTTTCCATTATGAGTGTTTTGGAATTGTTTTGGATCATTGTATTGCTGAGAAGAGCTAAATCAATTGTAGTTGATCATTGCACAATGTTACTATTATGGTCTACAATAGTCTCCTGGCTCTGCTCACTTCACTCAGCATCAGTTCATGTAAGTCTTTCCACGTTTTTCTGAAATCTCTCTGCTCATCACTTCTTACAGCACTATTGTATTCCATCACATTCATATACCACAACTTGTTCAGCCATTTCCCAGTTGATGGCCATTCCCTCAATTTTCAGTTCTTTGTCACAACAAAAGGAACTGCTACAAATATTTTTTTGTACATATAGGTCCTTTTCCCTTTTTTATTAAGTCTTTGGGATACAGATCTAGTAGTGGTATTGCTGGATCAAAGGGTATGCACAGTCTGGTTGCCATCTGGGCACAGTTTCAAACTGCTCTCCAGAATGGTTGGGTCAGTTTCAACTCTACCAACAATGCATTAGTGTCTGGGTGTCTTTTTATTTACCATTCATCACAATTCAAACCAGGTCTAAATGTAGCTGTATACCTTCTCTAGTGCTGATTCCTCCCATTTAAATCTATATAATTTTTGTCCTAATCTTGTTACTCTTGGGTTTTCTGGGCCCCTTCTTTTGGGAGAAAGCCACCAGTTTAAAGAGGGACCAAACAGGCTAAAATAAATGACTAAATAAATGCCTATAACTCAGACTGTTATTGATTTAACTTAGGCTGTTTATAACTTTTATGCAAATCCATTTATTTATCTATCTAAATACATTGAGAACTATGTACAGAGCATTGTGGTCACTACAGGTTAAACAAAAAGGAGAGAAATTATTTAGGTGCAGCTGCAGGGATGGGGACAAAAGTCACCAACTACACCTTATCTCCTCTGCTCTTTCTAAGAGATGTTCCAGGATAATTCGTATGGCCCTGACATTAGTGTTCAGAGACATGATGGATATTGAAAAATTTTACTTGATCCAACTGTCATAACAGGCAAAGGAGATTTAAGAAGATGAATTGTATCTAAAGAGCTTTTCTTACAAAAAAAGGTGACATTCCTTTGAAGCAGGATGATGCTTACCTCTTTATTGATTTTTTTAAAGGTCTTTGACTTTTTGGGCCTTTAAAAAAATAAAGAGGTGTATTTACGTGGGAAGAACATTGACTTTGGAGTCATGGATCAGAATCTGAATCCTAGCTCTACTACTTTTTATCTTTGATCAGTCACTTCACTTCTCTGAGACTCAGTTTCCTCATCTGTAAAATGAGGGGGTTGGACTATATTCCCTCTAAGCTACTTCTAGCACTAGATCTACGGTCCTATGTGTTCTTTGTTCTTCTTCACTGTCAATTGTATAGCTGTGAAGACATGTTCTCCTGTTCAGAATTTCTGTAGTACAGAAAAAAAAGAAAAGCTTTCAGATCTAGTTTATCTCAATCCAATAAACTCTCTAGATCTGGTATTTTTCTCAGCTGGTATTCCCTCCTTTCTGCCTTATACGTTCTTTGAAACCTTAGTTTATTGGTACTGCCATGCCTGTGACTTCAAAGCTGGGAAACCAATCACATTTGTCTGGGTAGCACATCTCACCTTGCTTTAAAACACCTGAACCATCCCTGATTCCAGAAGCTGCTTTAAGCTGCTGGAAGTATGGAATGAATATCCATTTACCAGGGACCCTCTCCTCATACTATGGCTTGAAGACCATCATGCCAAAGACTCCTTAGGCTGGTTGTATGCTTTCCCTGCCCTTTCCTAGACTCATCTGGAAGCTTTCAGTCCTGTTCCCAGTATGATAGGTTCATTGTCGATCTTAGGACCCTTCTTTTGTTGTCTCTACCTCTTCCTTGGTGTTCCTTTTGGTGTCTCCAGTTGTTTCACATAACACTCTTTAAATGAGCCAAATGAAAGGGCCTATTGCTTTCAGCATTGATGGGCTTGTCAGATTCTTCTGTAAAGCCCTGTCTCTCCTAGCAATGGACCCTGACAACATTCATGTGTGAGAGCTGACCTGTTTCCTTCTCATCTCTTCAAGGACACTCTCAATGTGTGCATAGAACATTCTTGTAAGGACTTTACATTTCCTTCTTCATTTTACAGATAAGGAAACTGAGGCAGAGTTAAGTGACATGGCCAGGGTCACACTAGTAAGTGTCTGAATCTGGATTTGAACTCAGGTCTTCCTGATTCCAAGCTCAAAACCCTAACCACTGTACCACCTAGCTGCCCTGGAGTTAGAGGATCTGGATTACATCCTGGCTCTGCCACTTCTCCCTAAGTGATCTTGGGCAAGTCACTTGATTTTTTTTGGTTTCAGTTTTCTCATCTCTAAAATGAAGAGGTTGGTCTAACATTTGAGTGGTTAAGCTTTCAGGCCACTGACCTCAAATGACCTGAAAAAAATAGAGTGTTGGAGCAGCTAGGGGTGCAGTAGATAGAACACTAGCCCTGGATTCAGGAGGACCTGAGTTCAAATCCAGCCTCAGACACATAAGTCTTATTAGTAGTGTGACCCTGGGCAAGTCACTTAATCTCATTGCCTAGCAAAAACAACAACAAAACAAACTAGATTGTAAGCTGAATCAGACTAAAATGTAATTGGAAAATGTTTAACAAAAATAAATAAAAATACAATGCAACATAGATAATGTTAATTTGTGGTTTTCAAAGTCAATAGGTAGCCCTCAGGGATTTATTTCTATTTCAGTTTGATACTGCTAGCTTAGATGGCTTTAAATGTCCCTTCCATCTCTAGAACCATGCTCCTGTTCCCCTATAAAGCGCCAGATTCCTAAATTATCCTAGAAGTAGTAACAAAAAGATATTGCTTGAAGAGGTTGTTTCAAGGACCCAATTTTTAAAATGAAAAAATTAACCCATAAACCACAATCCAGACTACAGGCTCATAACCCACAACCTCTCTAATGACCACACTCCCAACAACTTTCGAAATTTGTCTGACAGAAGCAGCGCTAATCTGATTAGGGACTTCGATTGAGTAAATCTGCTATAAAAATGGACTGTAGCCTGGTTTTGAACATGATACCATATAAGTCATATGAGACCTGCCTCTTGGAAACGCAGAAGTCTCTTTGATGGAATATTAGTTCCATGAGTTTTTAAAAAGTATATGACTAGTATTGTTTATTTTCATAAATAGTCATAAAAATCTGTTCTTCGGGAACAGCAGCATAGTTGGATTGAATCAAACCTGGATGTTAAACAGGTCCCAAGAGAGTGTGCAATTCATTTCACCCTTCTTCCCCTCCCTCTTCTCTACAGATTCATAGGAACAAAAGGAAGATGAACAGTTCGGAAAACTCTTTGTGAAGCTGAAAGAGTTGGTCAGCTGGGCTTTGTGCCTCTGAAAAGTTTCCGTAGGCTTCTTTTCAGGCCCCGGGATCAGCAGGCATGTCACTCTGGTTTTCACAGTCACTCATTTTCAGGCAGAGGAGCTCATTCCTTGGGAGTCACATGTGCTGCAATTAGGCCTCTTGTAAAATGCCAAAAAAACTCTGGCAGTCTCAGAAAGATCCAAAGAAATGTCGGCACCATTGATGAATTGATTTGCTGAAGGGGAAAAGAGGTCTCTTCCGCAAAGCTAAAGGCATGAAAATATACCCACCAACCAGAGGTTTCAGATGGGATACACACAAAATACTTAACTGCAAAATCAATGTTCAAGTATGGGAAATATAGAAAACTGGAAAGAGCTTTCGGAAAGAAGGCAAACGGGGAAAAAGAGTGGGCCTTGAAGAACAGAGTACCCACTAGCTGCAACCAAGTAAGAGGAAACATGAATGGGAATGAATGGCTAAAGAATCCTGAGGGATACTTAGAGCAACTGATTGGAAACTTCTGATATTTTTATACATTGAAATTAATTGAAATTTAAATGGTTTTTAAGCAAGGCTAATTGTAATGATGTTCAATATTGAGTTAATAATAAAATTGTTAAAGTTAAAAAAAATCAATTCCATTTAATTAACAAATATTTATTAGGTTATGAGGCAGCTAGATGGTGCAGTGAATAGGCCTGTCTGGGCCTGGAGTCAGGAAAACCTGAGGAAATTTAGCCTTTGACTGTGGGCAAGTCACTTAAACTCTATTTACTTTAGTTTCCTCAATTGTAAAATGGAGTTCTTGTGAGGATCAAATGAGATAATATTGGTAAATTTTATTTATTTTGTAATAAAAAATAGAACAGTACCTGGTACATATCAGGTACTATATAAATGCTGGGTATTAATAATAATAATAGTAATAATTGTTGTTTGTAAAAGAGGACTGGAATTGGAGTCAGAGGACCTGAGTTCAAATCTCACTTCTGTCATTTGCTACCTCTGTGATTTTGGGCAGATTACTTAACCTTCTGGGCCTCAATTTCCCTATCTGTAAAATGAAGATGGCTGGATTAGATTCTCTCTAAGGTTCCTTTTAACTTGAAATTTATCATCCTTTAAACATGCCTACTACATACTACATTTAAACTGAGTTTCCCATTTTTGTATTACATGATTTAAAAAAAAATCCAGAATTTTGATTATAGGGAACTTCTGATGGGGAAGCACTTTCCACACATGCCTACTGGAAGATGCCTATCAGCAGCTCATCTGTAATTTAGAAACTTAGAAACTTAAAAATTTTCCTGAGACACTGAAAGGCTAAGTGACTTTATCATTGTCACCCAACTAACACGGGCCCTTGGTAAACTTTAGCCCAGGTCTTTCTGACTCCAAGGCCAGCCCTCTATCCACTGCCATGTTGCCTTATATGGCATAAATGTTTTTCGAAATGTGCTAAGTATATGGTCCTATTTTTATTTTCCTAATAGGCTGAAGAGGAAGACATATAATACATGCAAACAGAGTCATAACTGGGAATTCTAGGATGTGGGACAAATTCAGGTGAGGCGTGTGTGTGGTGAGGGCAGGAGCCCCGATGGGCCTGTGCGTGATTGAATTAGGGAGACTAGAGGTAGAGAAATCAAGAGAGTTGAAGAGATTTTAGGAACTGGGAAGCCAAGATTCCATGAAGACAGTGTTATTTAAAGGAAGAGAGGTAGTTGCTGAGTAATAGTGGTAGAGGGAGAGTCTAAAAATAGCAATGAGGAGGAAAGGATAATGCCATATCTCCCTCTTGCCTCTGAGTGTGAACCAAGGAGTAGCTAGTCTTGGAGAGGGTGCCAAGAAATGGTGAAATTAGGTTTCAGTGAGCACCCAAGCTGAAAGGAATGGGAGAGGAAGAGCTCAATCATCAGATCCAGTGTAGGATTATGGATTTAGAACTGGAAGGGACCTTGGAGATTATTTGGTCCCAAAGAGATGTGAAATGACTTGTCTAAGATCACACAGGTACTAAGTGAAAGGGCAAGGATTCATCAAATTTATGCTCTCTGACTCTCAATCCAGTGGATCTTTTAATTGCACCATAAAAAAAGAATATTCTAGAGGATATAGTGGAAACAGAAAAGTGGTAGTAGAGGAGAGCAACAGGAGAAGTGGCAGTGCTAAGTTTATTATGGAGGACAGGGGCCCATGGAGAGGCCAGACAATCAGTCAATCAGAAAGCATTTATTAAGTGCCTACTATGTGTCAGGCACTGTGTGCTAAGTGCTAGGGATACAAAAAAGACAAAAGGCAGTTGGCCGAAGCAAACATGTAAGCAACTATGTATAAGTAAGATATGTACGTATGTATGTATACATGTGTGCATATATACATATGATAATTAACTGAGAATTAATGAGCCTTAAGAGCTGAATTCTCCCCCTCCCTCCCTCACCTCCAGGGAATCCTGAATTGATCCTGAGCTTCCTATGGCTCAACAGTTGGGTAGGTGGGAGTATCCAGTCACTTTCGAAGGTAAGGACCCTTGGGCATGGATTAGATGGCACAGGACATTAAGGGGCAGACTTGGAGATTAGGCAACTGGAGATGGTGGGGAAAGGTAGGAAGCAAGTCCTGCTGAGAGTGGACAAATCTTCCCTTTCATCTGAATGTTGTTATCTAGGGTACAACTCTATTTGGTTGTGCTAGTTTTGGTTCTGCATATATATATGCATGTGTGTGTGTGTATATGTATATGTATGTATATACACACATATAGAGATAGATGTATAAAAGTATTTATAAATCAAAATATTTAATACTTTGAATAGTGTCTTTTGTCTATCAATTGCTTTGTTAACAATGACAGTAACACACAAGTCATCACAATGATATTGTAATAGGAATCACTGATGGAATAATACAGGTAGGATCTTAATTTCTATCCAGCTACTTTGACTTTCACAATTATTCTACATATTTTTTGAAGGAATTGACCAAATTGAACTGAATTTGGTGCACTACAAGAAAATATCAAGAAGCAGCTTGGCTTTTGATTGATTTTATTGTATTGGTGGCATGTGAATCTGGGTCATTGCTTTGTTTTATTTTAAAGTAATTTTTTCTCAAGACTCTGGACACCTAGTGATGATTTTGATGTCTAGTAGTCTAAGACATTTTGTTGAGAAGCAAGTTATGGGGACTGGGAGTCGAGGAATTTAGGAAAGTATCTTAGTCTTGAAGTCTTGCTACCAATAATCATGTCATAGTTTCCCTCCCACATAGCAATAGATACTGAAGTGATTGGACAAAATTCTGGGACTCAACTTTGTTACAATCTGCATGTTACTAGATGAAGGAGACTCGAGAAGTGTGGTTGCAAGGTATAGCTTGATATAGCAAGATATAATGGACCAAGTGACTTTTTAGGAACTTCATGTCAAGTGATAATGTTCTAGGATATCATGGTTTTAGTTAGGAGAATTTGGAATTCAAAAGTTTTGGTGTCCTAGATTTCTTAGTAGGGATAGAGGCACTTGCCTTCCCTCCTCCTCCCACCTGTTAAGACACTGGGAGCAACCTTCCTTATGTTTCCAAGTTGTAAATGCATTTCTTGATTGCAACCCCCATAAACCTCATTCCATCCCTGGATCATTCTGTAGAGCTTCACTTACACATAAAAATGAACATTTAAGAGGTTTACTTTAGTTTGATAGCCATCTATTCTCTGATATAAAAATCATGTATCCAGGTCACAATTGTCTTCCTATAAATGAATACATGCGTCTCCCCACACTTTTGTGTGCTTATTCTTAGAGGGTATTACATATGCATAATTCTTCCATGCAAAACAAGGGCAAATGAATGCACAATTCCCAAATGATCGCAGACTTTATATTTTCCTAAATGCCTAGGGATTTTAATAATTCAATGGTATTTAAGCATTGATTTTTTTCCCCATTGGAGGAAAAAGTAGAAGGTTGGTTCCAAAGAGATGCAGAAAATTTGGAAAAGGTTAACAGATAATGACTAAACTAGTGGAAGGGGGGCTGTACAGGGAAATGTTAAAGGAACTGGAATTAGGTAGCATGGAGAGGGTTGAGAGGGAAGAGATTTCACTTAAGGGGAGAAATGGCACATGGCACATGCTCTTGAGGACAATAAATTAAAATGGCTTTGAATTGAGGCAGGATCCATAGAAATAAGGAAGAATTTACTTATTGTGGGGTTTTTTGGAAGAACTCGGAACAGGCTTCCCTGGAGCATGTTACACATTTAGAGACCCCTTCATCCAATCTGGATGGTTTCTCAGAAGCTAGCCTAGGGGCTGGATTAGATTGTTTCTTGAAGCTCCTGGTGGATTAATGATTCTATGATCCTTCGAGGGATGTCAGGGAGAACATTAAACATTTAATTGATCTGGACCTGTGTCCAGGAAGTGGAATTTATAACAATTGCCTACTTTTGTAATCTCCGCAATTCTTTCTATGAATGACAAAAGTGTTTGATGAATGAGCTAAAGAGAGTGTTGTATATCTGAATTGTCTAGAGTTTGAGTTTTGTATCAGACCTTCGAAGCCTTTTGAATATGTAAATTGGTAGTTCATTTTATGCTCTCCTCCTACCCCATCTATTTCATAGGAACAGAAAAAGAAGATTAAAAAAAATGCACGACATAATTGAGAGAAGCTTTTTGGTTACCCCCAAAGTAATTTGAGACATGTTAGGGCAGAATTAGGAAAAGTCAATTCAATTTAATTTCTACAGGAAACTGTAAATACAAAGGGGAAACCCCCCCAACCTTTCCTGTCCCCAAAGAGCTTATGTTCTATTCAGAGAAACAGCATTTATTAAGATAGGAAAAATACAAAGCAATTTGAGGAAACAAGGAGAATTAATGAATTGTTTCCTCATTAGAGTTGTGAAAGATATAATTCCTCTAATGTTTTATGGTGACTTTAAATATTTCCCCTTTTAATTCCAGTCTTTCCTCTTCTTTTATTTCCTATTTATCCTGTATATAACTTGTTTTGTATATATTTGTTTACATATTGTCTTCTTCATTAGATTGTAAACTCCTTGAAGGCAGAGACTATCTTTCCCCTTTTTTATCCCAGTGTTTAGCATGGTGGCTGGTACATAGTAGGAGCTTTATAAATGTTTATTGAATTGAATACATACACACGTGCATACATATACTTATATACCTGATAGATTCTGATGTATTTTGAACTTAAGGTGGTTTATGGTATGAAATCTTGATGTGTTCTCATTCCCCGCCCCCCCCCTCAACTGCTATCCAGTTTACTCAACAACTTTTGTTGAATAATTAATACTTATACAATCTACTTTGTGATCCTAGGATTATCCAACACTGAAGTACTTTATGCATTTAGCTCTTTTTCATTATTATCTGACCTATCCCATTGGCTTATTTGATTTTTTTTTTTAAATCCAGTACCAGATGGTTTTGATAATTACTACTTTATGGTATAATTTAAAATCTTTGAGTGCCAATCCCTCTTCTTCCTTTGAAAATTTTCCTTTGATAGTCTTAACAATTTTTTCTTTTATCTGAGTTTTGTTATTATTTTGTCTAATTCTATAAAGTTTGTTTTTGGCATTTTGATTGGGATAGCTTTAAGTCACTGGATTAATTTTAGAAGTATGACTACTTTTTTGTATTAACTCCGGTTAATCATGAACATTGAATGTTATTCAAATTATTTTGTTCTCTTGGGAAAAAATAACAAGGTAATTACAAGGAAACTCAACTAGTAGAATTATTCTCAGATATATGAAGGGGCAACAAACTTTAACTCCAAAGTGGAGGATTACCTAAATGCTGGAATATTTCTCATGGCGCCATCTCCTGGCAATCAGCCATGACTGCCTTACTGCTTCTCAGTTCTACCAGGAGAGATCCCATCTCAGAGCTCCTTTTGCCAATCCACGATGCTCCACTATCTATGCTGCTGACTGCCTTGAAAAGGTGCTATTTGATGCTGCCCTACCAGGCTGCTGCTACTACCTTCTAGGGCTGTTGTCTGCTGAGGCTGCTTCTTTCTTCCAGATATATGTGGGGGAGTGAAATATAGTTCTTTTTTGAGGCCGTCCCAGACCAACATGCCTCAGGGGACCATAAACACATTTTCTGTTCTTAGCCTCCTCAACACTTCTAGCTGAGTTGAGGTGAGTGACTTCCTTTCAGCTCCAGTAAGGCTCTGGACAGCTAGTTCCTAGGCTATGCAAATTGTGTTGATGCTTTAATAGGAGGAACTTAGCAACTTTAGAGGGGGTAAGAGGTAAAATTAATGACCTTTATACTGCAATCCTATCACCCCTTTGTAACGTCTTTCCTCCTTTCTTCTTTGAAAAAAAGAAAACAAAGCAGGGTAGCAGTAACACCTGGGTTGTGCTGAGCCTCCTCAGCCCTTTTGAATGAAAAATTTCAGTGTATTTACACCTCAGAAATCTGCAATTACAAATCAGATCTAAATTGATCATTTTGTTGATTGGATAGACTTAAGAAAGTGTTAATAATGCAGGTTAAGTTTAAAAGTGTGTCTGTATGGTTGTCCTGCAACCCCCCCCAGCCCCTCCCCCCCCCCCGGCCATTTGCAGCCCAATTGTTAAATATTAATTAGCTTACCACTGAGTAGGGCAATCCTGAAAGAAAAGTGCTATGCTTAATTGTCAGAGCCTCAACTACCATAGTGAAAAGAACCTGGTAATGGAGACCCTGTGTTTGAATTCCTGCCGTATTGGCAATTACCTTGTGACTTGGAGCAAATTGTTCTACTTCCCTGGGTGTCAATTTTCTCATCAATAGAATTGTGCACTTGGGGTAGGTGATCTCCAGTGCCCTTTTTGGCTCCAAATTCTGTAAGATTGTGATGCTTTCTTGAAAAAGTGGAGAAGTACCGTTGGCTTGGGCTAACTCAGACTGGTCCCCTGATATTTTAGGTTCAAACCTGGAATGAAATAGGCACTATTGATCCACCTGACACTATTGAATAAAGAGAGACTTAGCAAAAGCAGGGGAAGGACATCCTGAGCAGGGGAGGGATGTTCATTAGCGAGTAAGCATTGATTCAGTTGAGTTTTCCACACTGTTAATGGAGCTGGTGATAAGCCTCAGAAGCTATAGCAATGGCCTTAGTACGCTGAGCTGATTAAATTTTCATGACAGTTTCAATATCTTTGAATGAGAAACTAGCCTAACATATGGCAGTTGTTGTTATTGGGCCTTGACCAATGACATCATGATGTTGGGGTAAAATAGTGGATAATGAGTGATGTCTTGACTTGTGCATGAATATAAACGGGGCAGATTTGCCCCTCAATCTCTCTTCCAGAGAGATTGTCAATAGCAGATCAAAAGTCAAGATGCCTGGTGATGGCTCAAGATGCAGTGGATGACCTTGGTGTCTTCAAAGGTTGACCAAGCTCTAAGTGCTCCACAGTGTCTGCTTTAGCTGCTTTCATGGCCCTTGGAAGAACTCTCATCTGCTTATTCTGCAGGGAGTTCTTCACATA